CGCCCAGATCAGTGACCACCTACTGACTTACTATTGGGTAATTTGGGGCGGGCCTGGCGGGAAGCAACATATATAAGTAAGGTGCCCCGGGGGTATTCTATTCTAGCCTGCCGTCTACCACTGCTCCAGCCTCGACGACGCTTCTACCGCCACCGCCCGAGGAACCGACACCGAGCCGACGCCGTTACTCCGCCGTTACACATCTTCACCACAGTCGCCAAGGCGCGGGTTGATGGTATGGACCGGACGTACCTGGAATGGGAAGACCGATATTTTCTTCGTCCCGGACTGAAGGTGAGCGCTGGCGGTTACATCGAGCAACTCGAGGAAGAATATCCTCCCTTCATGTCGTCGCCCGTACCTTCTTGGAAACTTTGTACTGCTACAGGATTGGGTGCCACCACATGGAATCGAAGGGCGTTGGAAAAACTCTCGCCTACTTGGAATGGAAGGGCGTTGAGTACCTGAAGAAGACGGAATATCCAAGTGTGTCACCTGACCTAAACCCCCTCGATTACCGGGTCCGAGAGGAGCTCAACAGGGTGGTCTACAGTGGCGGAGAAATCAACGATCTCGCTGAACTCAGGCACCGAATCACGGTCGTGGCAGAATCTCTCGATGGCGCTCGTCCAGAAGGCTGTGGCGGAGTGTCATGATAGTGTACAATAAGCTGTTGAATATGGTGGTGGAAACTAGTGAGAATTTAATAAAGTGTAACTTATATCGCCTTGAAAGTCGAGGAAGAAAAGGGCCCTCCTGTATTTGTAAATTATTAATGAGTTGTAATAACCTGGCAGACAAGACCTGTGCTATGCTTTCAGGTAGATGTTTTTCATACCCCTTCGGAACGATTCACACGTGATGGAGTAAGTGGTGAGTCTCCAAGTTCACCACCGAATGGTAGCCTGGACCCGGATATCTTCATGACTCCTGCAACAACAATATCAGCATATGACATCAGAAAGGTAACTGCAGTTTTATAACAATCTTTAAATGCATTTGTTTACGATGCAATGCAGAAAAAGGCCGCCGATTTGGAACGTCTACGAACGGAGTCTCGATTGAAGGCCAAGTTGAAGACTGA